ACGGCAGCCCCGACGGTATCGAGAACGGATGACCCCCCCCCCCCCCCCGAGCGGAGGACCAAATCACCCGGCCGGACCCGCACGCCACCTCACAATCCCTGAATTCGGGCACATTTAATGGTTATCTCACCGGAGTCTGTAGGGTTTCTTGCTTCTTCTCATTGATCTCCGCAGTCCTCCTTGAGGCCAGTCACCGTGATCTGCTCTTCATCTGATCAGAGGCGACTGCTCCAGTCAAGTAGCTCCCACTGTTGCTTCTTGGACTTCATGCTTCTTCGGTAGCACGCACTTTACTCCTTTTCGCACATATGCTCCCCCCGCACGATTGTTCCACACACACGAACGACTCGTTGCGACCGTACCGCACTACTCGAATGAAGCGCTGCGACTCACTCGGCATGAGTCGACTCGTTATCTTCGTTTCTCGCCACATATTCCCTTTTTCCGGCAATCCCGGTTAATCCCTCGGACAAGTGGCAACCTTACCTGAGGTGCGGGCTGTTGGCCAGACCCTTCGTTTGTTGTGGTTTTCCGGGGAAAACCACAATCGACGGGTAGAAATCATTCCGTCAGTAACAAACCTATTTTTATAAAAATCCAACCGTTTCTACATTTTTATCCGCCATATTAGGTCGGCTATTTTCAATTATTATATTCTGTTTGCTGAATAGGATTCCGCGACCTCGTAGATCTTGGATAAACCGTTTTCTTTTTCATAAAAAATGCAACAATTTTATAATTTCCTGTCCGTCCCTTTGAATTATGGAATTTTGTTATCAGATTTGAATTCATCAACCACGACTACCGTGAGAAACTCATTTTTTTTAATCTCACAATTTTTACATTTTTATCCGCCACATTGGATCTACCGTTTTAGATTTTAAAATTTTGTTTAGAGATTTGGAGTCAATGACCCTAAAGATCTTGAGAAAGAAAAATCTCAATTTTTAAATTTTGTATCCTCCATTTTGAGTTTCAAAATTCTGTTACCAAATTTGGATTCAATGGCCACGAATACCGTGAAAAACTTATTTTTATAAAAATTAAACCGTTTATATATTTTTATCCGCTATCTTGAATTTCAAAATTCTGTTACCAGATTTGGATTAAGCGGTTATAAAAACCACACTAAACCGTTTTTTATAATAATCCAATCATTTTGAAACTATATTCTTCGCCATATTCGATCCGCCATTTTGAATTTTGAAATTCGCCTTCTGTTGTTATATTTGAATTCAGCGATTCCAAAATCTCTACTTTAATCTTTTTTCTTGTAAAAATGAAATCAGGCTGAAATTTTTGTCCGCCATTTTGAATTTTGCAATTATATTATCTGACTTGGCTTCAGCGATCTGAAAAACATCGAGAAACCTTTTTTCTTTAAAAAAAAAACAATCATTTTAAAGCTGGGATGGGAATAGTTCCTTCTGCGCGAGGCGGTGTCGAATGTTGGCTGCCCAGAAACTATATGACAGTCCACCTGTCATATCTGTGCGAAAAAGTATTCTGTGGCTGCGGCAAAGACGATGATAATAACACAACCTCGATTCTGAGAGTGCTGAAAACTTTAAGATGCTACATCTTCACGTAGGTTATAGCGTTCGGAGTCGGGTAAATTTTAGAAAATTCCTGATTTTTTATTTGATTTTTTTTAACTGATCAGACGTTCCTTTCTTTTTGTATAGTAATGGAGAGAGTAGATTCCCATTTCCCCCACTCCTGAAATCTCGATGCTTGGCGTATAGAACTCTGTAGCGTCTCGCTCGAGCTCAAGCGCGCGGGGTGCGTTTCTCTCAGCACACAACGATGTGAGTTTCTTGTTCAATAATGTATTTGGCGCGAAACTCTACTGAGTTTTTTGGTAGGTTAGTAAAAATGCAGAATGAATTTTTGAAATCTTATCGAGAACTTGTGAAAACTTATGTGTATTTCAGTTAGGACTTGAATTTGTATTTAAAATTCAAGTAAACAATTTAATCAATTTCTGCAAAATTGGCTATTTCAAGTTATGTGTGCTGTTTGACTTTTTCGAGAGTTGATTCAGTCGATAGAACTGTATTGATGTATTATTTTGATCAGATCTTTTCTCATATGCTCATTTCTCTGGAAGTAATTAATTTTAAATGGAAATAGATTCAAAATCTATTTAAAATTGAGTATCCGAAATATTTTTTCTTTTCCTTATTTCAAATACGAAATAGAAAAGGGTATTTTACACTTTAGATACGCATTTCGAATAAATTCAATTAATAAAAGTTACCCAGATTTACGTTTATGAAAATCTCGCATAAAAAAGACTTGTTATATTAACGGGTGTCCATTTACATATTCATTTAATTATTTACGGGTGTTCATTTTTTCGAGGAATACGGAGAAAAGTGTAGAACGTAAATACATAAGAGCAGGTATATAGTACGAATGTGGCTGCATTGTAAATTTTCCTACGGTATTTCACTGTATAAATGTTAATAAACTATTTTTTTTAAGCTAAGATAATATTCTAACTTCTTTTCAGTGTGTTACGTCCCGCTGTAGTCTAGGAAAAAGTTAGATTTTTAATTTAGATTTTTAAATCGGGTTTCGAGGGAGCGAGCCCTGCACTAGGACGGAAGTAAGGTGCTGAACTGGCATTCCAGAGCTGCGCACGGGCTCGCCGGGGCCAAGTCCACGCGCCGTCGGAAGATCTCCGGGCGCGAAACCCCGCGTCAGCATTAGGTTCGTTCTCCTGGAGGCGCTACCGATCTCCAGGAATTTGAGGACGCTGCAAAAGATGGGCCCCACCTAGGAGGGCCTCTTGCCCCTACTCCTTGTCCATGAGGCCGTGGAATATCTGGAGCTCGGCCGGGAGCGCACTCTGTTTTAAAATTTTCAAGCGGCAATAAGTCTTGCATAAGCGACCACCTTTGACGTGCGACAAAAACTTTCTACAAGTGACCAAAGGATTCCGAAAAGAAAAAGGGGGACCAGGGAAGATAGTTGGCTCAAGAGCGCTAGACAAAGGAAAAAGCACACCAGAGGCCCAGCCACCGAGTAGTTCGGAGTCTCGACGCACCGACACAGAAGGTTAGCATTTCTGTATATTTGTATTTCAATCTGTCTTATTCTCGCGACCGAGCACCCCCTCCCCCCCTTTTTGATATCAGCTCCTCGGGCTGAGCAAAATTTTTTCGGGATCGATTCGTCGCGAGTCAGAGTTGAAATAGTGTTTTTCGGAGAGTGCCGACATTATACTAAATTCAATTTAATATGGATAGTATTATTCGGAAGTGAGTGACGATCAGAACCGATTAATCTGAATCTGGTAGTTTGCGGATAAACCCTTCTTTATTTCAAAGATTCTCGACCGGAGATTGAGTTTAAGTGATTGCCAAAATAGGTTCGGTCAAGTTAGCGAGTCCATCAAATCACCGAATTTATACGAATCCGTGCGATAACTTTACTCGCCCCCCCCCCCTTTTTTTTTCTTGTGTCAATTGTGAAATTTAAATTGATTGAAATATTATCGTATAAAATATTATTTAATGTGAATGTGCTTGGTTGAAATACTGATTTATACTGGTTGTTACCGAAACTGTGTATCTTGATGTTATCGTAGGTGAGACTTCCCGAACGACGTATGAATCGGGTGGAATATCCGGATGTCATATTATGTACTAGTGAATTTTGTATCTCAAGAATTTTGTTCTAATTGATCGAGGAAAAATCAATTTATTCACGACATTATTAAACTCCAATTTCAGTCAGTGGGATTCAGGTTAATTGTGTATGAACCTTCTAATTTCGAGTCCTCCCACTCTTATAATACATTCAAGTCATTGAGTGAATTGAAATCTGTCAAATCAGTGCTGTGGTTAAATTTACTATTTTACATACGACTCAGTTCGGTAACTCTCACCTGATTGTCCAATACTCTAATTATATTACAGTGTCATTCGTTTGATGTTCTCATGAGCAGATAATTTTTGTGTCACTTGTAGAAGTTTATTGTGTCACCCGTTGTCTGATTTTCCAACTACGTATATTATTTTGACAGTCATTGTTTAAAATTTCTCTTTGCATTTATTATTCAGTCATCTGGAATTAAAGGTGAAATTTCTTCTGTTTCGTAAATTTCGATCCTGCGTCTTAAGTATTATTTCATGATTAAATTTTATTCTGTCCGATTAAATTTTGAAAGCTGCTCTAAATGTCGTGTTGAATTAATTGAGATTTTTAATTTTTCCATTGTGGAATTCTGCGGAGTTAGCCCGTTTTGACCAAATTAGTTGAGTCTCGCGCAAGCCTGTAATTGTAATTCAGAAATATCGTATTGTGTCTCTGCGAATTAATATAAAATTCGATAGCGGAATGTAATTTTTCACGGATCCCGTATTTGGTATTGATCTGTCCACATTGTGTATTTTGTTGAATGTTATTATAGTTGGTCTTTCCTTCCTAATTTTAAGATCGTTACTTGACATGTCTCCTTGCAACTTATTTCAATCATTTATTCCCCGATCGTTCAATCCGTCTATGCGAACCTGGATTCCAGAGGAAGTTTTCTAAGTCCCATTTTATTTTTATTTGATAATTGTTTCGCACCGAAGTCATACCCCTTTGCAATTCGATGTCTATTCTCTACTTTTATCCTTTGAAATCTTGTGTTTAATTTCGACTTTTAGCTTTTGCGATTTGATACTTATTCTCACTTTGGAAATTTGATATTAAGAATTTACTTTCGCGTTCACTCCCGCAATTTGATATTAAACCCTATTCTTAACATTTACTCTTGAACCGTGACATAAAATTTTACCCTTAACTTCAATTCTCAAATTTTGGCATTAACCTTTGTTCTTGAACTTTATCGCTGGATTTTATTTTAATANTTATTTTTTTTAGGAAATTCATTCTGCCCCTCAGGTAATTCATATTCCGCCCTACTCCCACCGCTAGTACGCTGCGCGGCCGGAGAGGGCAGAGCGGACAGGAGGAAACCATCGACGGAGTTCAGTGTACCCTCTTGCTCGTGACTATTCTAATCTTTTCTGTGGCATAAACAATCATATCTAGTTTCGTATAGGTGGATCCTGTAAAACTGATTATTGTTGTTATTTACTGGTGAAATTGAGTTTTATTTGAGCATTCTGTAAAAGCAATATTTAGTTCGTATTTGTATTCACGTTAGTTCATACATTCAGTATTTGAGTACATATAAAGATTGCTGGGCATAAGTTAACCTCGACAACTCACTTGTTATATAGAGTAGATTTTCTTATTAAATGTAATAATAGCAACAATTTTCTTTTTACCACGTACGACTTGTCTGTAAACAGAACCTTGTTCTTTTGAACGATAATGGAGGTAGATAGAAGTATACAGTTGCAAAAACTAGCAAAAGATATGTCAGAAGATATACAGAGAGAGTTTTTGGATATAAAGAACTGGGAAGAACAGATGAAACGTGCAGAATCTGATATTCGAAACACTACTGGAGATTTTGTATGTGTATCTTGTAATTAAGTTTATTTGAATTTATTGACTTGTTTTTTTTTTGCGTATAGGAAGTCCCACCAATCAGAAGTAAAAAAATTAAAACAGATAAAAAGCCGAAGAAGATTAACACTACTGAAGTGAAACGCATAAAATCATTTGATTATGCAGCTTGGGAAAAGTTTAATGCTGTAAGTTCTGTTCCATGTCTAAGAGCTTGTGTTCATGATGCTAGAATTTGGTGCAAGGTTTTGGACCTGGAATGTTAAGTGCCTAAAGTTAAGTTGCATGTAATATCGTGCACGCTACAGTATTAGATATATGTGAAGTTTGTAACTAATATAGAAAAGTGGGATGAGATGCATTTTGTCACAGATCTTGAACTGAGATGTAGCATCGTGAACACGGGATCTGAGGACCAGTATCACTTGGGCAATTTCTTAGTTATGATTACTGAATCTCAGATTAATAAAATTTCGTGTTGCACCGATGAAAAATAGGTTAACTGAAGATTAATATCTACTATCAAATAACTATCTGAAGTCAGACAATTAACTTTAATCACACATTACGTAACCCTTGATTAATGATTTTAATTTGAATGTTGGTTCAATTAACTATGAGTATTATATTTTTTTTATCTATTTCGAATGCCATAATTTTTTTTTTTTAAATTAGGATAAAGCATGCAAAGAAGTTGATGAACAAGATGAATCTAATGAATCAGAAATAATTACACAAGAAGAATTGCAAAATAATTATGAAAATGCCATGAAGCATAAGCAGATAGGCAACATTTTCGTTAAACAACAGCAATGGAATGAGGCACATCAATGTTACACCAAGGCTTTAAAGTTCTATCCACATGAGGCAGTATTTTATGCAAATCGAGCACTATGTCATCTGAAAATGAACACGTAAATTTTTATTAAAAATTAAAAAAATTATATGTCGATAAATAAAAGTTATATAATGATGTTATTAAATAGATTACATTCTGCTGAAGAAGATTGTACTGCTGCTATACATTTGGATGAAACATACGTTAAAGCATACCATAGGCGTGCAACTGCAAGGATAGAATTAGGAAAATTTGAAGAAGCTAAATATGACGTGGAAAAAATATTGTCACTAGAGCCAAATAATAAAGAAGCTAAATCAATGCTTTCTACGATCGCTAAGAAGATTAAAAATGCAAAGGTAGTTATTACATTAATCAATGAATTTGTGAGATGATTTTAAAATGTTGCTATAAATTGTTTATTTTGTTGTGAAGCCAGTTATTATAGCAGATGATTCAGAAGCACCAATCGAGAAAAACATAGGTAAAAATGTATGGGATGAATTAACCATGCGATACAAAAAGAAGAATGTAAATAAATCACTACCAGTGATTGTATCACAAAATGACTCGATTGCTGCAGTGCAACATGCAGTACCTGAATTATTGTTAGTGCACAGGAGAAATGTTGCAGTTGTAAATCCAACTGTTAAACCACCTCATCAACGTTCAAAAGTAAGTTTTGTTTTCTTTATGTCATTTATATATTTTTTTCTACTAAAATGAATTAAAAATTAATTGAAATAGAAAATTGAATTGAAATAAATCTTCTTTTTAATAAGTATTCATTTCATTATTTTATTGTTAGATGCTTTTAAGGAGGATACCAGTGAGAGAGATAGATTTTGATGTATTGTCAAGTAAATGTGTGTCAAGGTGTAATGTGAAAAAAACATGCGTGCAGAAAATTAAACTTGATACATTAATAGAAGATCGTAAAGATGATATTACAAGCCGGGAAACATGTACTAGATTGACAGGTCTTGCTGATGATGATTATAAGGTTCCTCCAGTACCAAAAACTGCAATTCAATTTATTGTTGATTGGAAAGAGAATAAATATCCAGAATATCGATATAAATACTTACAGGTATTTATAGGTTATTCTTATTTTAATGATCTTTCAAATATAAACTGTTTTCTCTGTTAAAAAATCTTTAGCAAATACCTGCAGGCAACATACATTTAATATTCCAAGATTCTATGGATTCCGAAATATTCAGCGAGATCATAGAAATCTTGAAGACAGAATTCATAAAGAGATGTAAACCAGTGTTTGCATATTTAAAGGACTTAAGTCAACTTAAAAGATTTAGAACTCTTGTAATGTTTATGAGTCATGTTGACAAAGAAGGTATTTATAATTATACACTTGTATACATATACGTTTTATATGCATAGTATTTAATGTTTGTTTTACAGCATTAACTTCATTATTTTTATACTGCCACATCATGGAAGGTCGAAGGGGAGAAGAATTTGCAGAAGTAGAGGCAAAATATGGAAATTGAGACACTTGTATTGAGAAATGTTTTTGAAAAATAAATAATAGAGCAATAAGTTGCAAAAACTTGGAATAAAAGACATTTTGCTACAGCTGGTTGTTAAAAATGTCAGTTATCCTTGATGTTGATAAAACAAGTTCTGTCTGAGGTGGAAATCTCATTGCCTGTTTTATTTTAGGATCTTTGCAAAACAGAACATTTAATTAATTAAATATTTATTTGCTCATATTGGAGGGAAACACGTAACAATACGGAACTTCAAAAAATATGCCACTATTATTTTTATCTGGTTTCAAATGTTCCTATAAACATAATACGATATAGACATTAGTGCAAAACGTTCGCAGCATTTCTATCTAAAGTAACTACAGATTTAAAATTCTCAAGATGCTGAACAGATTAACTAGGACAGTAAAAAACAAGTTTACAACAACAGAGACATTTAGAGTGATGTACGGTGATTCCCTAGTGTCAGATTACTAAAAATAGTTGTTTAATGACAAACAGTGCTAGCTATCATTTTATAACCGAAGTTTCTCACGTTAAAAATAAATCATTATATAGTTAAATTAGTAAACATTGACTTCCTTATATAAACTAATAATTTTTTAATATTCTATCATAAGATAAATAAAACCACGTTTGGAATTAAACAAAGATAAATATCACATTTAGAACGTATTTTAGAAACAATAATAGGAGAGGAAGGTGTATCAAGTTTTTATGAAAAATTACTTTACTAAGGGTTGATCGATGATTATTTTCTGTAGGGTACAATTTCCTACGAAATTTGTTTTTAAGTATAATTTTCGTTTTATAAAGATTCATAAGTAGATTCTATGTTTTTATCAATAATATTTATATGATACACGAGCGAATAATATTGGTTTCTCGTCCGAAATCACTAATATAGAATCATTCAATTTCTGCTCATTAATATTAATTTTTTTTCTTACAAATTTGTTATTCAATATTTCAGTTTTCTTGCTGCATGTGTACAACATTATAAAATAAATAAGGAAGGGAAATTATCAAAAATACTTATTAAGTTATCATTTTCGCTTTCTGCAACATGGAAATCATGAAACTATATTAAGTGAAAATAACAACAAAATCATCATATAAATGCAATAAAGGGTAAAGAGAGCTGTACAAACATTAATAGTTATTGTATGATCATCTTCTCATTTATTAGAATGGAAAATAGTACAAGAGCAAGAATCATTGAAAAACAAGCATTACCTATCATTTTGATACAAATGCTGAATAATAAATATTTTGATGTAGGAAACAGAAACTGGTTATCACTATAATTAATTAGTTATGAAGATATACTACAATAATAAGGCGCTACATTTAGTTTTGCCAAAAAAAATCAAATATAACTTAAAAAATAGATTCATAGCTAAGCAACTTAAAAGACATATGGAATTATGCAGGGTTAATTATAATCTTATTAAATGCGAATTTTACAAATATTTCAATTTGGTATTTTCTTTCCAGTCGAGAGGTATATGATATGAACATGCGCAATATATATGTACATATAATCTGGCAACTGCAATCACCTTTAGTTTTATGAGTCCTCATTGACCAAGAATCTCTCTACAAATTAAACCTTTGTACTCGAGGACTTTGCCATTCCATTTACCAACAGTGGCTGACAGTCACCTCTCGAGTGCAAAGGGTTAATTATGTGCACCTCCTTCAACGCATTTGTTCCTTATTAAAATGCAGTCCAAAGTGACTTGAAGCTTACATTTCTACATTAGTGAAGTTTGGTGCAGGGTTATCAGATGTACAATACTTACCGTAGAGGTACGATCATTTCTATTTAGGTAAGATAAACGATACCTCTTGTATAATATTTATCGTGCGGCATATGATATTTAATGTACAGCATACCATAATGCTGCATTCAGTACAATATACGATAAATGTATATTAACTGTATAAAAGTATAGGTGTTTTCTATTTCCTTTCCTTATTTTCGTTTCGTTAGTACTGCATAATAGTTGCACTTAGTTTATCGCTTCAGAGAATACGTTGCAAATACAAATGCTTTATATAAAAAGAACAAAGCTAGTGGATGATATTGGAATTAGTGATATTTTAACAATTCAAGAAAATCATAAGATGTGCATTATTAATACATATACTATTAAATTGAATTCAAGTCATGTAACAATAACTATTGTTATCTATTTTATAATTTAAAAATATTTAGTTAGCAACTAAAGAATGTAAAGTAATGAGAATTCTTAAAAAATTCCACATATTATCATTTAACGTTAATGCCTAGATTCAGTTTCAAAAATTACCACTAATGAGCATATGTGCTTAACTCATTCACTGCCAGAAAAATTTAGAAGCTATTTTAATCATCTTAATACATACGCTTTCTACGAGATATCTCGTAGCTATCAGTGAATGCGTTAAAGTGTATGATAATTTCCTGTGGATGTACGATAATCTCTAGAGGGCGGTCCGATATTTTCGTGCGTGAGATCTACTAACCCTAGTTCGACGTTGCTTAGTACCGACGACATACTTTCAAAACACATGCGCTGAGCACCAGTAGTGTATGTATTGATATTTCCTGTAGATCCTTACCTTGCAAAGTTAGAAAACGAAAATAAGTAAATTATGTAAATCGAAATCATGCTTCGTCGTGATTAATATCAAAGAGTAAATCGCGACACCAGGTGGGAGTCCTTGGTCACCTCAAGATCTACTAATAATTTGCTATTCAGGTTTTCCTTCTTTCTTAACTGTTCCCAATCTTAAACATACTTCAACTTTATTTGTCTTTCTAATCTGAATAAATCTCCAGTTAGAACTTTATATTATTTTCCTAAAGCTAAACGCAAACATTTAAATCTACGATACAGTTGTGACCACTCGATATTCTGCAAAAACCAATCTGAAACATTATACATAGACATTATATAATCATTGTCTTGACGGTATAACTCAAGTATGCTATATCAAAGAGGATAACTCGATCCGCGTATTCTTTCTCCAGTGGGAATGCAAGGCCGTGACGTCACCGCGGACCTACTTCAATACGTTTAACGTAACTGGGCTGCTTTTGACTCAATTTCCGTAAATTTTTTAAACATTTTGAAAGTAATTGTCAGGAAAATAAATGTAATCTACTTTATGATTATAGGTAAATTAAGTGGTGGTTATATTGATACTAATGTACATTGGTTTAAAATACGGAAAAAATGAATTTCTGCTGAACATCTAGAGGTCTGTTGTTTTGATTTGTACGATGGAATTATTTCATTGAATCTCCAATAAAAAGGATGTACGAATTCATTATCGTCATTTACGTCTAAGGATATCCAATACTTTTCGAACAAAGTTTCAACATATGGTAGACAGATGAGTTTGTCATTCGTTTTTAATTTCATTATAAACTTAAATTGCAATGTAATATTATTATGTAACAGTCAGTAAAAACATTAGAATCTACATGTTCAAGAAGTTCTATTATTAAAATAAATTAGTGCAATGTCCAAACAGTATGTAATTTCATTTATTTGTGGGAAAATTATAGTAATTTTGAAACAATGTACATTCTAATGAAATAAATTATTCGACATATTCCGCAATAAATTGCGGAAAAAGCTTTTGGTTATCAAAAGGTGTTCTTAAAGATTAGAAAACGGGAAAATTTGTCGATCAATATCAACATATTATTTTGTAAATTAAGAGCAACAATGTGCATACATTATTTACATGTAAAAAGGTATAACAATGGAGACCTACATTTATGACAAAAGCACATATATGAACACAACAAATTCAGACATTATGCAGCAATTGGCTAAAAAATTTGAAAAAACAGTTAATTGAACTATCTTCTGCATTTTAAATTATTAATTAATTAATTAATTGCCTGCCATAATTTTAGCGAATAAATTAATTATTTGAATGTAATTATCATATTGCAACAATCTGTAAACAGATTATCTTTTTATTATAATTCTATTCTATTCAATTATAATTCAGTAATAAGCTGAATCCCTACATTATATGTTTTATAATTAATTATTCTCAATATATTAAATTATTAAGGTATTATTTTAATTTTTATAACACTTTTTTAAGTACAATTCCATCGCTCATAAAAAAGTGACTACAAATGAAACAATAAAACCAAAAATACCGTCATTTTTTCGCATGATAAACCGACTACTCATTAAGTTAATGAACCCACAGTCATAAAAAAAGATTTAAAAAATGATACCCTGGAAATTACTATATAATTTCAAAAAGATCGACGAAAATGAAATAAAATGTAGGCTGACTTCAAACTCGTCAAAAGTTGCATTTAGAGTATACTAGCTGCGTACTAAGTCCGCTCCCTGTTGTTTACGTCATGCGTTAAAAGTGGTAGAAAAAAAGAGTATACTAGTAGAGTAGAGTATACTAGTTGCGTACTAAGTCCGCTCCCTGTTATTTACGTGCATGCGTTAAAAGTGGCAGAAAAAAAGTTGTGACGATGAAACTTTCTCGCAACATTTTCCGCCATCTTGGAATTCCGACCAGTCGGTAGATTCGTTGGCACCGTCTAGATTTGTCAATTCTGAAAATATTAACAATCGTTTATTTTTATACATAATTAGATTTATCGCTTTTTCAAATGAGCATGGTGCAATGTAGTAACAGTCATACAGGAGCATTTGATTGGCTTCAACGAATATCGTACACTGGTATTCGTCGATGCTTTCCTCGTGTCCGTCTTGTCCTCTCCGGCCGCGCGGCATACTATCGGCGGGAGCAGCGCGGAATTTGAATTGTCCGAGGGGCAAAATGGATTTCCTTAAAAAAATAAATATTTATGAACAAAGATAATTAACGAAAATTATTGAAGTATTATTGTGGAGTGTCCCTGACCCACTTAACGTAATTTTTGTTAAATGATTATTTCTAAAATTTGTTAAAGAATATATTAAAACATGTTTTATTAAAAGTTAACAAGTTTCTTAGCGATTCAATTGTTCCATCCACTGAACCGAAGTTAGAATATTATCTTACCTGAAAAACAAATTGTTTAATAATACGTATACAGTGAAATGCCGTAGGAAAATTTACTTCGCATCCACTTTCGGACATAGAAGCGGAATCGTGATTTCATGTCTCTCATATATTTACGTTCTACACCATTCTTCGTATTCCTCGAATAAATGGACACCTGTAAATCATTAAATGAGCATGTAAATGAGCACCCGTATACATAACTTTCCTCATCCGAGTTTATTATAAACGCAAATCTGAGTAACATTTATGAACTGAATTCATTCGAAATAGGTATCCAAAACGTGAAACACCATTTTCTATTTCGTATTTGAAATGAAAACAATAAACTGTTTTGAATTTCCAATTTTAAAAAGATTTTGAATCTTTTTCCATTTGAAATTAAATACTTCCAGAGAAATGAGAATATTAGAAAAGAATCGATCAGAATGATATTTGTTCTATCAATTGAATTAACTCTCGAAAGAGTTAAACAACACGCATAACTCGAAATAGCCACTTTCGCAAAAGCTGATAAAATTAAATTTTTGACTTGCATTTTAAATACAAATACGAGTCACAAAATTACGTGTCCGAAAAAAGCATGAACAACGAAGGGTTAACATTACGAGTAGATGGCACAGTTTATTCGAGACGACAGTTCTCGTGGAGGAATTGATCCTCCATTCTCTCTGTCAATTACATGATCGCGGTCGTTGCAAAATGACAATCCACCTTGCGAGCCGCGCAAGGAAGGGGCGATAAGGCCCGAGGGTGGACGATTGCAAGCGAGAACGCCATCGGGAGGCATAAGATCCGCGAGAGTGCAAGGAAGAACGCAGTCCGGGGTAAAGAGAGAGAGTCTTCCTCGCCGGCGTGTAAACATTGATGCTAATCCGATTATTGGGAGCCGATGTCGAGACCCTCACAACAGGAGGTGGAACGCCCGAGACCGGAGTTTTGAGAGTGATAATCGAAGCACGAGGTCGTTTCGACCTGTAGGAGCAAACGAAAACGCCACGCCCCTCGAGCCCCAGTCGGCGGCCAAGCCGAGCCGGCCACGCCAACGCGAAACCGATATCTGGTCAGGGTCTGAAACCCGAACGTATAAGTCTGTCCCATGTTATTCGAAGTATAGCGCATCAAGTAGGCTATCTCACTCTGACACACGGCCTCCAGGGCGGATATAGAAAGACACTAGTATGCAGTCCCCTTACCGCACCGACCCTCCGTCCTCGTGCTTCCGCCGTGGTTGAGTGTCGACGGACTCGAACGCTTTTCGGATGACTCACCCCCCTCCTTCACTTTTCCCTCCTCGTGTCACGTTTGTCAGACAATTGATATAACAAAATATTTGCCATTTCAATTTACATTGGGGTGTTACTAGGCTGTTCGATCGTCGTGAAATGTACTGCAACTCTTTTGCGTATATTTATAATATAATATTGTGCGCGACAAATATAATATTGCAAAAATGTCAATTCGTTCCGCAATGTAAAATTTTCTCTCCAATTATGTTTGAATATTTTACTGACGTAAGTTTAATGTGTTCATGTAATCAAATTTGAGAAGTAACGAGAAATCCTGTGGTTTTCTCATTGCTTCATAAACTTAATTTTTATATTAAGGTTTTCCAGCGTTATTCGTTCAATTTGTGCATATTTCAATCTTTTGACTACATTTCACAGTAATGTATTTGAGGTCAGGTTGAGAAAAATTAAACCATCTATTTTCGAGCAATTGATTTCCTTTTCAGTGTATTGGTCGGGGCGAAGCGGGAAAAGATGGTCAGAAACTACGTTAAGAAGATTGGTCACCGAGTGTATAAAAATGACACCTAAGAAATCTTTCAGATTGCACTCAAGCGAGCAAAACGGGACCAAATAACTTTGACAGATACTAAAGAAATTTATAAAGTTTCATATTGACTGCTTATTTTTAAGGAGAATAAAATGTATTTTAAGACATTAACAAAGACTTGGATTTATGTTTTGTTTCCTGAATTTCTAGATTTATATTGTTTTACTTCTGCATGGGAAAAAAAAAAGTAAATTCAACTCATTTACTAAGTTAAATATGGCGAACTCAATAAGCGAGTTGGCAACATACATTTAGTTCAAAATCGCATTTTGTAGTTGAATCAACTCGAAACTTGACTGAAACAGAATTTATAGCGCCAAATCTAAATTGAGTCAACTGGTTTATTGAGTTCGCCATATTTCTCAGAAAATTAGATGAATTTACTCTCCTTTTTCTTTGCAGCATGAGTTAGTAAAAAATACGAGAAAACATATGTTTGATGAGGGTTGCACATGGTGTTCCTAATAGCACATTGTATATTCGATTTTAAAAATACTCGAAGACACAACATTTTCTTTTCATTCGTAATGTGGTTTGTCGGAAACGGAGGAATTTTTCTTTATTTAAGGATATGCGTTTGGGAAAAGAAGGTCGATTCTTTATTAATTTTTATTTGCATGATGCTAGGTTGCTTTACATAGTATTTATTTGAGGCCCTGAAAAGGGCCTTATCGTCAATCCATAATAGTCCATCCATAATAGTCCATCCAGAATCCGTCCCTGTCAACCACTTGATTTAATCGATACAGAATCGAATCGATTAAATTTTCGATTGAATTTTTAAAAACTCCGGACTTTGTCGTAGCTTTTCCCAGACGTTTTTCGTGTGGTCGATCAACGCTGCTTTCGTCCTTTCCCTCGCCGGGACCTACAATCGGGTCATCTCGGACCACACGTTTTCGTTCGACGTTCTCTTTTGCTCCTATGGGTAGCAAAGGCCACGAGCTTTCACTACCACTCTCAAAACTCCGGTCTCGGGCCTTCCACCCCCTTCTGTGAGGGTCTCGATGTCGGTTTCCCGATTAGCGGATTATTGTGAATGTTTTCACGCCGCCGTAGAAGACTCTTTCTACCCCGGGCTACGGCCTCGTCCCTTCCGGGGCGGCGTTCTTCCTTCCTTTCTCGCGGGTCTTATGCCTCCCAACGGCGTTCTCGGTTGGACTCGTTCACCCGCCAGCCTTATCGCTCCTTCCTTCCGTAGCGCACAAGGTGGGTTGTCATTTTTCGACGACCGCAATCAAGTAATTGACAGAGGGAAAGGAGGATCGATTCCCAAGCGAAAACTGTCGTCCCGAATAAACTATGTCATCTACTCGTAACTTTAACCTTTCGTCGTCCCTGCTTTATTAAGACAGGCAAATTGATAAACCACGTATAAGCTGAAAAATGATAAATTTACGGAGTTCCGTGGTTTAAAATAAAACAACTTGAAGGCATGGACATTAAAGCAAAATGATATAAAGAGAAATTTTGCAAATAGCATAAACTAAAATAAGCACAGTAAACAGAGGGATAAGAAATAAAATTCTGTACTTCCGAAGGAATTCACATTCTTGCAAAATGATATTATACGGCAAGTTGCAGTATATTTCGCGACGGTCGAACAGTCCCAAAACAGCCGAAAGTAAATATGAATGGCAACTATTTGGTTACATCAATTATCTGACAAGCGTAACACATGGAGGGAAAAGGGAAGGAGGGGGGTGAGTCATCCGAAAATCGTTCGAGTCTGTCGACACTCAACCTCGGTGGTAGCACGAGGACGGAGGGTCGGTGCGGTAAGGGGACTGCATACTAGTGTCTTTCTATATCCGCCCTGGAGGCCGTGTGTCAGAGTGAGATAGCCTACTTGATGCGCTATACTTCGAATAACATGGGACAGACTTATACGTTCGGGTTTCAGACCCTGACCAGATATCGGTTTCGCGTTGGCGTGGCCGGCTCGGCTTGGCCGCCGACTGGGGCTCGAGGGGCGTGGCGTTTTCGTTTGCTCCTACAGGTCGAAACGACCTCGTGCTTCGATTATCACTCTCAAAACTCCGGTCTCGGGCGTTCCACCTCCTGTTGTGAGGGTCTCGACATCGGCTCCCAATAATCGGATTAGCATCAATGTTTACACGCCGGCGAGGAAGACTCTCTCTCTTTACCCCGGACTGCGTTCTTCCTTGCACTCTCGCGGATCTTATGCCTCCCGATGGCGTTCTCGCTTGCAATCGTCCACCCTCGGGCCTTATCGCCCCTTCCTTGCGCGGCTCGCAAGGTGGATTGTCATTTTGCAACGACCGCGATCATGTAATTGACAGAGAGAATGGAGGATCAATTCCTCCACGAGAACTGTCGTCTCGAATAAACTGTGCCATCTACTCGTAATGTTAACCCTTCGTTGTTCATGCTTTTTTCGGACACGTAATTTTGTGACTCGTATTTGTATTTAAAATGCAAGTCAAAAATTTAATTTTATCAGCTTTTGCGAAAGTGGCTATTTCGAGTTATGCGTGTTGTTTAACTCTTTCGAGAGTTAATTCAATTGATAGAACAAATATCATTCTGATCGATTCTTTTCTAATATTCTCATTTCTCTGGAAGTATTTAATTTCAAATGGAAAAAGATTCAAAATCTTTTTAAAATTGGAAATTCAAAACAGTTTATTGTTTTCATTTCAAATACGAAATAGAAAATGGTGTTTCACGTTTTGGATACCTATTTCGAATGAATTCAGTTCATAAATGTTACTCAGATTTGCGTTTATAATAAACTCGGATGAGGAAAGTTATGTATACGGGTGCTCATTTACATGCTCATTTAATGATTTACAGGTGTCCATTTATTCGAGGAATACGAAGAATGGTGTAGAACGTAAATATATGAGAGACATGAAATCACGATTCCGCTTCTATGTCCGAAAGTGGATGCGAAGTAAATTTTCCTACGGCATTTCACTGTATACGTATTATTAAACAATTTGTTTTTCAGGTAAGATAATATTCTAACTTCGGTTCAGTGGATGGAACAATTGAATCGATAAGAAACTTGTTAACTTTTAATAAAACATGTTTTAATATATTCTTTAAATAATCATTTGACAAAAACTACGTTAAGTGGGTCAGGGACACTCCACAATAATACGTATATAAGTTTCATTAATTATTTTTGTTTACAAATAATTATTTTCTTTTGGAAATCCATTCTGCCCCTCGAGCGATTGAAATCCCGCGCTGCTCCCGCCGCTAGTACGCCGCGCGGCCGGAGAGGGCATTACGGACAGGATGAAACCGTCGACGAACGTCAGTGTATATACAACATCAGCGCGTTTATTACGTATTTTTGATGGGAGCCCTCACTTCTCGGACTTTCGTCTCATGTGGGTTTATTCGCCGAATTACGTATTCGCTGTATGAAACAACGAGATCACTAGCACTTCCGGTGTAGTAATATTGCTAAAAAATAAAGATATATACCTTGTAAATCGAAAATTGTTGAGAGGTAGTGGGTTATAGGCAGGAAAGGCGGGAAGACGGATAGCCGTTGAAAGTAAAGTAAAGACAAGGATTCGAGTGTAGCTATATTTTTTAAATACGTATTACATTCATATTTAAATGTATTATAATTAGTATAGGAGTTCAACAATATAATTTTCTTATCATATCATGTAAGCATGAATTATTTAACCGTTTTCAATGTTTAATAATGTAATATAACCTCGCAATAATAGAAACTAACTTATACATACTAGTAAATTCTCTTTCTTCTAACGAAAATGGGGCTGAAGCATCACGTAATTCTCATCTTCTTGGAAGATGGCGTTCACGGTGCTTATTTTTCTATCTTTTCTTGTACGCTTCACCATTTCTCTAAAAAAATTGTGTCGCACCAGTTCATATGAATGGTCTCGCATTTTCACCACAAAAAACGTTTAGTAATACCGTAAGCTGCTCGTCACATTTTCGCTCAATTTGCTTTACGTAATAGACCCCCAGGGGACTGACACCCGCATGTTATTCTTCGAGACTAATGTTTGCAGCGACCTTTGGATCTACTATACCGGAAGTATGAACTTGCAAATTTACCGCCATAAATTTAAATTGAATAAAATTAAAAAAACTGTTATTTAAGAAAAAATGTTCTAATACTACTGTAAATTTTGCAGTTAATAAGGTTAGGTTAGTTATTAGCCGCAAATCTCCCAGTTATAATAATTTCTTTAAAATTCTTAATGTATAATTTAGTTATAATCATTTCTTATTGATGATAAATTATAAGTTAATTCAGTATGATTTGAAATCATTATTTTCAGATATATCGGGTTCGTAATGTGAACAAATATGAATAATAATGGGATAAATTAACATTTTTTTTTTATAATAATCTATGAGTTTCAAAGAAACATAACCCATAATAACGTCATCTACATTCTACTTACTAAGTTACATATATCTATATGTGTACATAAATATACCTCCCTACAGTGTTTTGTTGTATTTCTATTCTAGGATAACTTCGAATTTATAGCAACTTTAAAATGTATTTATACAGTCAATACGTTGTTGAGAACGAAATGTGAACTGATTTTCCATCTTTTGTAATAAAGAACGCATCGAATTTCCTAGATTTCTTTCGTACAGAAATAAAAACATACACTTTTCTCAGAAATTATTTATTGCCAAAGTTTTTTACATTCTCTATTATTACAGCTATTTCCACTATTACCCACACAGAACATATACCTATTATATACGTATATTGACTATCTACAGATATCCATAAGATATCTGTAAGATGTATAAAATAGGGCTAAATGACCGTCTAATATACGTATATTGTACGTAATTGAAATATCTATATGCGGCGTAATAAGATCTAATGTACATAAAATATAATATCTATTTTACGTATATCAAAACTCAGGTTAATGTTGTAACATATTGGACAAATTATGGGCATGTCATTATGTGTCTGTGGGACTGTCAGTATTCTTATATATTTTTATTCTGAAGGGAGGACATCTTTATTTATTGCTTGGTGTGGGTGGTGTGTGTGTTGGCTCGATTATCGTTTCTCCCCTTCCCTCGTCTCCGGGTTGAGGACAGTCTTTCGCCGATGCAGAGCCGGAGTATCGGCATCTGAAACAGTTAATCAGAATGGTATTAAAACTTAAACATCAAGAACGGTATTGGGTCTTATATTCAAACGAACTATTATACGTGCCACTTGCGGGAAAGCCACACGAGCGCCATGCGCCATCTACTGGACTCTGTCGAAACTACCAGTGGCAACCGTCAAGAGGAACAACAATAGACAATGGTTTCAGAGGATGAAAAATACAATACTGAAACTAAAAATAAGCAGGTAGTGGATAAAAAATACGATGCTAATGACAATAATGATAAGTTTATAGCAAAAAGAGACTTACCCCCAACATTCTCGTGCAACTAATCAGAATCTTCTCGCACTGAAGAGTATATGGAATATCCATACCTCTGTAGGAAACCTATATCATTCATATGCACTAGCTATACTGAAGATAGATATCTATTTTACGTGTACAAATCTATATCACGTATACGCTCTTATTAGATATTCTCTAGATAGTCGCAGACATCGGGGTTTGATACACGAATATCTATGGTTGATCTATATCCCCATATACGGTGCATATATAAAAGATATATGTTTATATTACGTCTGTTAAACATCTAAAAAGTATGTACTTAATAGATAACCGCAGATATCTAGATTCGGTATATGCCTATTTGTAGGGATCTATAAGATATCTATAAATAGCCAATACGCGTATATAATGCGAATATGATTTGCATGATGTTATACGTAAGATATGTAAATATATAATGTATAATAGATATCGTATAACGTCTCCTATACCTATATGATTTAGTATTATTTACGTATAGTAAACAACCGTATAATTCGGCATGTACAACTCTTTCCAGTCCTCGTTACAGATTTTTTCTGAATGTAGTAATGACCTAGTAAATATATCGTAGATAGTGAATATACGGATCTTTCTCTCACTCTCTCCCTTCTGACCTCTCTTGACTACTCGGGGGTTAAACCTCCATAACTGCGTCTTTCTAGGGAACATCAATTATGTATATATCTATTCGACGTTAAATAAACGTTATATGAATATCTAGTTTTTGTATATGAATAGGATGTGTGGATATAGGTCAACCATAAATATTCATGTATCAAACCCCGATATCTGCGATTATCTACAGAGTATCTATGTCTACATCTTTTACGATATTAAATAGACGTTATACATATTCGATATGTATACCTTATACATAGACGATATACATATACAAGCTATATATTGTGACGTGTCATTTCTGAGGGGGAAATGCCGTCACAAAACGGTACCATTCTTTTTTTCCATCGCCTACTCCGGCCGCAAGGAACCATGGGTCCGGGCGACGGTGACTGGAGGGGGCGGGAATGATGAGGGCTGTTGGCCCGAATATACTTAGATGTCCATTGTACCTTTTGTCTTCATGTATTTTATTTTACCAAAGGCACGTGGACTCGAGAAAGCGTGGAAGGGGCCGAAAACCCCTTCTTTACATAACATCGTTTAGTTTAGTTAATGTTAAGGGGAATTAGTCGTCCCCGAAGTACCTTTCCTTCCTCTTTGCCTCAAAGCGGCATTTCAATTATATAATCGGGTACGTCGGATTCGACTAACTCATCCCTCTCTGCAGTGGCGTACCTGAAGAAACCTAAGATCAAACCGTTTCATTAGTTTTGTCATCTCTTTGGCCTTAAGCCATGTTAGGCCATGTACCCGTCAAATTTTCATTTCGTGGCCTAGAGCGAATAATTAGCTGCTTCAAGGCCTCGCTCAATATCGCTATCTGTAAGCGCGACGGCCCGGCTCGGCACGCGCGACGCTCGACCGCCGCGGAATGACCCAAAACAAGACATCAGGGCCGTCAGGACCTCGAACCAGGGAAGCGACTGCGGGGCACCCACCAGGACGACCTAAATGACCGCATCGAAGGGCCTGCGGAGGCCGCCGGATGCCGGACCTGCGGGGGCAGGATATAAGGTCGCCCTGGCGGCGTGAGGATGCCCGCCCGCGGGGAGGGCGCCGACTTCCCGGCCAGACGCCGGACCGGCGGGCAGGAGCCCACCTACGAGGCCCCGACCACCGCTGACACCCTCGAGGAGGCGTCTCTGCGTCCCCGAGAAGCCCATCCGCGGCCATGTATTGGTGCGGCGGACAGGCCAAAAATGTCCACGAGGCTTGGGATCAAGTGGCGCCTCGAGGACCACCGAGGCCATTCAGGGCGACCTCCTCGAGAGGGGGACACCTGGGGCCACGGCCCCGATCGAGCCCCAGGTCAATCGGGACCAGCCACCAGAGCTCGAGGGATAGCTTCGGGAAAATCCACCGATTGGCCCGAGGGGGAGAGGCCCTCACAGGTGCCGGCCCTGATCCTCGCGAGCCGGCAGCCCGCCGGCCCCCGGCGGCGTCCCATCCCGGAAGCGCGCCGACCGAGGATTCCCGTCAGCCGCTAATTGGGTCAACCATTGGAAAATTAGGCCAATGGGACGTCGCGGAAGACAGCGGCCCTAATGAGGGGGAACCTGAACAAAACGGGTCGCCGGACGCAGCCCGTTCTTCTTGGTTCCCGTAAATCGGACCGAACACCTTAAGCCGCTCGGAGCCTCTTCGCCCCTCACCGCCGCAGCAGCCTTCGCCCCGGAAGTCCGGATCAGACGAGACCGCCAATGACCAGCGGAGGACCGCCACGCCGAGCCGGGGCCGGTAAGCCGAAGGGCTTTAAGGTAACCGGGGCCCGGGCTCCCACCGCGGGTAGTCTCCTCCTCCCCCCGTTGACGTCACGATAGATTTTATTTATTATTCCTCTCCCTCTTGTTCTCATTTCAAGGGCCAGTTAGTTGCGAGGGGCGACTAACGGCCGCGCCGGGTCGCGGTCGGGCGGGGCGACCGCCCACGCATAATTTTGGGAAAATAGGGCCACGCGGGGTGGACTCTTTCCCAACGCATTCCCTCTTTTTTCTGAGTTCCGCCGGTTCGAGGGTCTCCTAGCGCCGACCGCCGAGGTCGCGCGTTCGGGGAGGACGAGGAGCGGGTGTGGTGTCCGGGGAGAACGGGACCTTTGTCGGAAAACTTGGCCGATTTGGCCGACCGTGCGGCGAGATCTCCCCGGGAGTATTTAAATTTCAGGGTTAAATAAAGAATAAAAAGAGAAAACCGTGAGTAGATAGATTCCCTCCGGCGGCCCGGATCATGTGATCCGGAATCAGCACTTCCTTGCGAGCTCCTTCCGGAGCCTCCCATTTAACAGAAAATGTTAAAGTCTCGAGTTCGCGGTGCCACGGACCAAGAAGCCACGAGGCGGCCAGAGGGCCGTCCGTGTCACTCGGTGCGCACGTGCCTTTCATTTTCCTCATCTCTCGGGGCCGAACGGCCTGTTTCCGCATCGCGTAGCGCGGAGCGAATGCCGCGGTGCGAAAGTCGTATGTCCCTCGAATTTTCAAGTGCTATTCCCTTGTCCGGCAAAATCGCGACGATTTTCAGCCGTCGACCCCTCTTTCAATGATTTTCTACCTCTGTCGCATCCTCGGAAACTAACGTTTGCCTCCTTTCCGATTTCGGAGCAATTTTCGTTAATGATTTCATTACTCGTTTCTTAAGGAAGTACTTCTCTCAAAAAGTTCCATTCCTCAGGTCTAAGGTTTATTCTAAAACCATTTCGGAAATTTTGACAATTCCTGTATTCCTTCATGTGTCTTCCCTTTACCAGGACGGCCCAGAAAAATTCTAAGTCCCTCGGAACCGTCCTGCCTTCCTATCTCACGCACGATTTAAAGTGCGATAGTCCCTCTGACTAACTTTCTTAAGTTCCTCTCTTTCATACCTCGTAGGTTTCATTCCCGATTGAAAAGATCTGGGAACCGACCGCACTACGTTCAGTTTAAAGTTCGTTCCTCGCGCGACTATTTGCGATTTTAAGTCCCTTTTCGAAATAATTAATATTTCTAAGTCCGTTCGGCGTTCCACTTAGACCAAGTTCAATTCGCGTATATTTTACAATAATGTTACGGGGAGGCCGAGCGGATGCGAGGCCGGGGTGATTCGGATTGAGATTACCCAAATCTTGCGCGTAACGATTATTTTAAGTTTGTGAGGAGATTGATCCGAGCGGCTAGATCAATTCCTCTGGTGGGATCTAGGGGAGTGAGGAATAAAAAGGGGTGCGAACGAATGGCAATGTGGCTAGTGTATTTAAGATAGTTTGCATTTATTCGTCCGTGAGGTGTGAACTACAATCAGCTAGGAGGGCACCCGGGGTGCCTTGACCTAATTTTCGCTAGGTTAATATACTTCCGCGTTGCGGCGGTTCGGGTGTCGCGATAGCACGCTTTAGCAGCGGTAGGTTACTGGACGCCGGAGTGCTGATGCGGGAATTCCTTACTGTTTTAATGGCGGTCTACACGTGGGTCTGTCTCGCGATGTTGAGATTCGAGCTCAGCTGTTTGGAGGAAGTTAAGGGGTTCTTAATCTATCCGGTTAACCGGAGCAAGGCATGGAAGTCGCGATAATGATTAGAATTCGGGTTTGATCGAAGATGAAGGGTTAATAAATAGACTAGAATGAAAATGAGGATGAGTCCAGCTTGCGAAGGATCCTATACCTGGCTTGTTCAACGGCCGTATTCGGTGACAGTCTCCTTTGATCGACCCAGCCGGATGACTGTGCGTGAACACCTTTGTCCCGTGACGTGCCCTAGGGTTGGAGGTCTCCTAGAAGCCTCCCGTCCAACGGAAGTCGCAGTGCCGCCGTCTGGTCCTGACTCGGTGGTTGGATCGCTGGAGTACCGGATGGCGCTACTGCAGCTCACAGGATAGTGGTCCTTGGCAGGGAGTCCGGCGGTCTCGGTCCCTGACTCGCTAGGATCGGAGTACCGAGGATCAGGAGCTCCACTCGAAGGTTCGATGATACTTGACTAACGTGTAGCGTAAGAACTGACACTGACTTATGACAAAAGACTAATGACATCTTGATCGGACTGCTGGTTTTATTAGCAGGATATTCCGATTGGTGGGGGTTTCCTAGGGCCCAGATGAGGGTGGCGCTTCAGAGTCGTGCTGATGCCTTGCGGAGTCATGAGGTTGTTCGCCCCGAGTCGGTCGATGACTTTTGGAGCCGTTTGGCCGATGAACTCGTTGGATCCTTTCGCAAGAGTTTCTTAATCGCGTTTCCGTATTTGAATTTCCATGGCTAGCTCCGACGATCGGGAAATGGGTTTTTCCCTATGTTAGGGTACGGAAGGTGCCTACGTAACATAAGTGTGGCGGCGTTACCGACGGCATATCTCAGTACCCGCTGCCTATGCAGATGGCGCTGCAACTATTAGAGCCCCTTTTTTATCAACACCATCCAAGACCCAAGGGCCGATTCGGAATTGCTTATCAAATGAATGAATCTAGGGGATTTCTGGAGTTTTACTTCGATTTCTTTATAATTATTGTGCGAAAACGACTGATGGAGTATGCCATTTAGTATAATATTCGATGTAATTCGACACGGCTGTCAATATAAAAACGAACGTCGTCAATGTAGGTATTTAGGAAAACCTATTTTACTGACGTTGATCAAGTTTGTCGACGTTTTTCACTTCATCTTACGGTCGTGGAAACATAAGATGTATGGCGGTAACCCCCGTATAGGTTAACTTTGTTAGCTTTGCTATTCCTAGAATTTATGCATCCTAATGGTCCAAAGGGACGGGTTGGTCATTTGCCTTCCCCCGAAACCACCCACCGTCTGTGAGATCAACTACAATCTTAAAGATTTACGCAGTGGAAGAAGTTCCCGATACGCGTTACCGATACCCTCTGGATAATATTCTGTAAATAGGTGCAGTTACCTTCGATTATTTACTTTCATGAGGTTTCACTTGTCTTCTCTAATTGTGAACTTTTGCTCTATATTGCATGTATTTCCAGTTGCATCTCAGGGGTGGTCTACCTCTAGGATAGTCTTAAAACCTTTTCTGGCCTGTTTTGAGCCTCCCGCTCGTATGTAGATGTCTCTACTATTCCGAAATCTTAAGAAATTCAGTTGTTAAACAAACACTCGCGACGTTGATTAATGGGGTTGTTTCCATCCGCAACGATGTTTCTTTTTTTCGAAGAAAACGTAACGGAACCACCTTTCTACTTTTTAGGTAGCCACAAAAAGACGACAGTTTTATTCCGATTTGTTACACTGGGGGGTGAGAAGTGATCATTGAAGGCGTGATTTGCCCCTTCAAAATGTTCCGCCATAGAGAACTTATAATGCCTTATTCTACCTTCATTATTACGAACATTTTGCCATTTGTTTCATACAAATAGGTAGAGTGCCTTCTGGGTGAAACTGCGAAACCACCCCCTGGCATGCTCAAATGTCGAGGATAGTTTCACCTCTTTAAATCGTTTTACCGTGCGTATAAAAAATACATATCCCTTAGAATGTTTTTCTACAAAATTGCAAAAATTGAACAAAATCGGAGAAGAACACTTCGTGAACGTTTCTTGTTAGACCATATGTATCTAGATCTCGCTTTGCAGTGGAAGGGGGAAACAAATATACCATGTCAGGCGGCTACTAACCCAGACAGTTTAACTTATTCTGCCTATTGAGAATTTGGGAGTGGAAAGTCCATTGCGAGGCCTAGGTATACATAGTCTATCGCTGCATCATGTTCGCCACCACCTAACAACAATTTCATGCACTTCCACAGGTCTAACTTGAGAACCGCGCGTAATTTGAGCTCGTGCCTATATGACACCTTGGCGTTTCGCAGAAGGATGTTGTATATTGCTGCTCTCGACGTCGGCACCACAACTGTTCGGTGTCACATTCTCGATGAGCAAGCGACGACCATAGCTACGTCCACGGAAAAGGTACACATCTATTTATTTTGTTGTTATGTTATCCAAATACGTCTTAATCCTGTTCGTATAAATCCGGACAATTCTAGGAAAAGAATGTCCAAATATATTATGCCTGCGAGATGTTTCAATTACTGACATGCATATGTTACTGGCTATTAAACCCGGCATTGCCTGGACCAATTTCATACCCTTTAAAATAATTTTAGTTGCATATGTACTTAACAATCCACTATAGTACATTTTTCTTTAGATTAATTCTGTCAAAGTGACTATATTCCATGTTTTCTTATCAGAGCTACTTAGCAGAAGTTATAATGTAAACTGTGCATCCATTTTACCCACGCGTGATAAGACAATTGTCCGCTCTACGATGATGAAAACAACGGAATTAACAGATGACATTTCTGTTTAACAATAAACTTCCTGATGTAATGAAATAATAAAACAAACTTTATATCCCTCGAAAGATCATAAGAAAACGTAGCAATAAAAATCCCATCAAAATTGATCCACTAGATGTCAAAATTACTGCAAACGCACAAATTCAGAATTATATTTTTCAGTACAAAAATTAAATAGCTGCTTCTAGATATGGAAATAGTCGCACTGAGAAAATCCAAGGAATGTCGGGATTAAATTATAATCCGTGCAAAAATTGTTGTTGCTGTTCTTCAAAATCGTCGGTTACTGGAAGAATAACTGTTACGTCTGGAGAACGGAGTGGAAGGGATATTTCGTGTATGGAATATTCGTATGTGGAAGGGGAGGTGAGACCTAACTCCCGCGCCTTCCTTGCGGATTTGTCGATGTTGGTGGAGGTATGTATTACGGAATAAAGAAACGGGAGTATGAATTACTTAGTTTATTAAGAAAAATAGTTTGAGGAAGATTTATAGGAATGGCAAATTCAGCACGTGTGCGTGTGACGAGTGTGGGTATTTCTAAGTACCTTAATTCGTTTTCTGGATTGCTGTCCGTTCGCTGACATCGAACTAAGTTTTGAAATGTGCGAGCGCGCGAAGTGAAACTGAGTCCGCACACGACAAAGAGTAGAAGTCGATACAAAGAGAGTAGTTTCGAAATCTCCCGAAAATCTGCCGAAAATCTCTCGCAAATCTCATTAAAATATCACGAAAAATCTCTCTAAAATCCCACGAAAATCTATCGAGAGTTTGTCGCTCGCTACTTAAATTCTAACTTATATATGGTTTACACCCCCGACGTTTGACTCCAGAATTTCCGATAGTGGGGCACGAAAATATTTTTAGTACCTGATGGTTAGGTTTGGAAAAAATCTCCTATTGGTGGAAAAAGTAAAAACATGTCTTAGGGAAAAGAGTAGAGTACTATAAAGTGGCCGGTTCTGGACAGATTAGTGTGCGTGCACACGTACACTTACTCACACACATGCGCAGCGTCAGCCTATGTGTGTGAGTCCCCCCCACCCTTTCCTCTTGCCAACAAACCCGTGGACCAACTCGTGCACACGCACACGCACACTTACATACACACACGCGCGCGCACCGCTGTGGTATCGTGTGAGTCTCCCCTTACCCCCAACCGCCTTGCCTACAAGCCCCCGCTCAACCCCCCGTTGCCGTAACGTTTCCTCCCCCCCCCCCCACAAACGACACCATTGAAATCGGAATTTGCCGTCCGCCACTCGATTTCAAGAATTGCGTCAGCACCTTTGCTCCCCCTCGCGGCGCAACTCTCTCGGCGGAAGATTCGCGACGAAATTCTGAGAATTCTCGTCGATTTTGGAGGACAGCCGTTATCTCCGTCGACGCAGGAATCCATCAGCCTTCATCGGCCATTCGACACCGGAAGATTCGCGACGTAATTCATAGAATTCACTTTGTCCATCAACTTTTGGAGGACAGCCGTTGCCTCCCTCGACGCAAGAATCCATCGGCTCTCGTCAGCCATTCGACATCGGAAGATTCGCGGTGTAATTCTGCGAATTTGTCGACTTTGGAGAATCAGGAATCCGTTAACTGTCGTAGACGTTGGACAATAGCATTTTGGAACCTTCTGGAGCCTTTACCTCAAAAGCTTCTGTCTCTTTCCCACCATCAACGATTCCAGGAAATCCCCTATCATTTTTTTTAAACAGAGAGGGCTCCATGCATAAAAGGGCGAGCTGCATATCAACATATTCATTATTCGTGTGATCAGTTATGCGGAATAGTGAGTAGCAGCGCGAAGTTGCAGTCCGCATAGAATTGCTTCTGAAAATCACCGAAGAAGTGAAGCAGTTGATTGAATCGAGGATCAAACGTGATCAGATTACAAAAAACTTGAGAATTCTTCGTCTGGATTGAAAGCAATGGATTTTTCAAAAATCAACAAAGTGGACCACCTTGCGGATCTCTTACAAACGAAGAAGTTGTTTGAGTTGGAAACTAACGTGGATTATAAAATTTGCAACATACGAAAAGTGGAAACCAAATATGGGATGAGAATGCTGACGAGCATCGAGAAGAGCTTCTCGGTATTTCTACCGGCAAGGATGGCGAAGGCGATGAAGGATGATGACGATACTTTTCAAAACATGACGTGTGCCGCAGAGGGGAATGGACTTATCATGTGATACCTCGCTGGGCACTATAACCATATCGAGTTTCAGTGTTTGGAGTGTGCCGAATGATGTTTAGAGTGTGCCAGACAAATACGCATGACGGATTATTTCACTGTTTCTTTATTTCCGATAACCAGATCCTTAAGATCTATTTTTGGTCGAACAATCAAAATGCGAAGCATTATGATACAAACATCGGGTATTCGTCTTATTTCGAAACTTTTGCAACGACGGACAATCCAGATCTCCTAAGTCAACGAAGCGATCAGGTTGTCCTGTAAGATTCTCTAACCACTTCTTCTTCTCCAATCTTTTCATATAGATTTTGGCAGCATCTCGCAAAATGCCTCGATTTTTCTTAGCTCTCTTATACGGTATATAGCCCAAGGTCCAAGATATCCCGTGAAAATTTCGTTCCAGTTACAAGTTCATAGACTTATACTTGCCTGGAAGACTCTCCCATGGGCACGGTGATTGAAACAGGAACGTCACAGTCTCGGTAAAATAGTTATCGGTTCCAATTAGAGGAAACTCCTTTAAAACAAACTTATTCGATGGTTTCTTAAATCCCTATAGATCTACGATGACCTCCATTTCTTTTTGCAAACTGCGTAGGAGGAAGCGATCGACACTTTTTATACCAACTTCTTCACCCCACCACTGATCGGATTATACGCAACGATACGATCATCCAGGATTAAGCAAAATGTCGATGTTTCGGCAGGGAATTTCTTTTCAGTCTCAAATTCAAGGCGAATGTCGACCGGTCCGAACTTGAGGGATTCGTTTTGTTTCGTGCAACCGATAACGATCAGAGGTGCATGTTCCAAAATTTCATGCTTTTTTAACAGTGGCTCAGGTTCAACGTGCTCTGTACGTAGCTCTCGATGTCCTCTATCTCATAGCTTTCAGTCGGTGTAGTGATAATTTCATCCCCAACGTAGAACTTGTTATGATCTATATCTACGTTAGGAATCGAATTGAAAGTTAATAACTTGATGAGACCGAGAGCATAATTTACAGAGAAAGTTCGATGGGAGGAAAATATTGAGCTTCAAGTACGGAGTACGGTGCCCGATAAAGTCAACGTAAATGAATTGTCCATGATTGCAAACGTTAGACTGACGTCCCAGAACTACACGCTACACTTATATAAACTATACTTCTTCTTACGATGTAATTGCCCGCAAAGAAACTTTCGACACAAATGTCCGCATTCGAAGTATCATCTTCTGATATCGTTCATAATTGTACTCTACACTACCAACACAGAGATATCCCATGAGATCCAATGGCGGTCGAAGATTACGGAAACTGTCGAAATAAATGACTCGATCGTTCGTCTTCTTGTATGCGGCCCAATGCGTCCCGGGACCTATTTCGTCGTCGAGATTGACTATCGCCGATTTGTATCTAGATGGTCCATATTTCGGCATAGCGTTCCGCATAAAGATTACTCGAAAATGCGGAATCTTCACGATTTTCGCGTACTTGAGTAGGCCTGCGTTAGTTAACGCTCGGTGTGGCAGTTTCCCTTCGAGGTTTTTGGCTTTACGTGAATACCCAGTCCTTTCGTATAGGGTTTCAGGTATAACCCCTTGCTTAGTACAATGGCTTCCATCGCCTTGTTATGCCTCTCGCTTTCCTTTAATTGTTCTTTGGATGCGTTCACATCGTTTATAGCTTTAGCAATGCCTGCCGCTCCACCAGCCAACGCTCCAGCGGCACTGAAACCCGCAAACACGGAGACGAGAAACGGTAGCAAGCCTCCAATTTTTTATGGTACGGGTAGAACGCGCGGTTTACGAACATTGCATTTTCCACCCGCTTGTTTAACGACCATCTGCGCCCCCTTAAGAGCAGATTTGATAGCGATCCGAGAATCGTTACTGGGAATCATCTCAATTCTTCTCAATTCCTCGAGTAGGTGATGTCGTGCTCTTTACAAGCAGCGTCGAGGGGGTTGACGCCTGGATCACCTCGTGCCAATCTTTTGGCTAGTTTTTTTCCGGGTCCGCAGTACAGATAGCCGGGTATATGCAATTCAACGGGGAGACCGTTGATGATCTTGTTAACTAAGCCTCCACCGTCGCGATGCTTCCTCTTGCAAATGCGTTTGGATTTATCATGCACGATCATAATCACCGTCTGCCGCGATACATTTTCAACTGAACGGCGATCTTTATAAATCCGGTATTTATAGTTTTTTATTAGTCACAAGCGAGATGAGGTTCGAGACACAGTCTTCGAAGTTGCCTGTGATGAATTTCGACAAATTGGCGTGAGTGGAGAAAGAAAAAAAGAGACACGGTAAATTATTACCGAGCAGCATACGCGCGGTGTTTTGCGGACCATCCAATTGCGGCAAAACGAACGTGTTACTCTCTTTCATAACTCGCCCTAATGGATTGAAATTCGAGAACGTTTACGTCTATTCAATGTTACGTAGGTACCTCCCGTACCCTAAAATAGGAAAAAATCCGTTTTTTTTTTATTAACCGGAGTCAGCCATGGAAATTCGAGTACAGAAACGCGAAACTCTTGCGAAAGAAAT